CCATCGGTAAACGAACTGCAAATTTGATTTTTCTGCATTGCTAACAAAATAGTAACTCATCTCCAGAAAAGAAAAATGAATATTTATTAATAAATAAAGATACAAAAACTAAGAAATAAACTATGCCAACTCAAATCACGATAACACCGTACAAGATAATAACGCCAAGAACTCTGAAACTGAAATGAATGATAGAATATAAGGAATTAATCACAGGTTCCCAGCGTCACTCTCGCTCACAGCCTCTTGAATCGCTACAAATATTGTGCGATTCACGGAGTAAATCGTAGAGTATGTACTCTAGAGTGAAATAAGCATGTAGAAGCATGGTGAAACGCTCATATTCTACTCGAGTTACTATCTTAGAGTAAATGGTTACTCTCGAATAACTACTCTCACGTTTACTCGGCTGTCGGTGAAACCGGCCCTAAATCTGGGATCGGATAATCACTGTTTAGTGTTGTTAGAGCATTACTAATAAGCTGCCCCGTTGTCTGGCAGTACTCATTGTACATAATGCGTAACACTCACTCGTGGCTCTGATTTCACAGACTACAAGGTTTACGTTGGTTCACAAATTTTCCGAAGTCACACGGTTATCACTGTTCACTACGATAAAAGCGATCGGTTCGGCAGTCAAGCTCGGAATGCCATCAAAAAGGTACTGATATTAGCAGATAACCATGGGCGACAAATCTCCACCCTGCTCAGTCTGAAACTCTCATCCAATTTCTCTGTCACGGGTGTTAAACTTAACGGAAGGTTTGCCGACGTGACCAATGAGTTGGACACCCACACAAAAACTCTCACCAAACAAGATTCAGTCATCATCATAGGAGGGCAGAATGACATAAATTTCGATGATCACTTTACACCTGAACAACAGGTAGACAAACATCAACGTGTCACCCAAAACACGAATATTATAGTCTCGACTGTCCTTTTGGAACAACAAACCAACATTTTGCAAATAAATTAATCACATTAACAACTAATTGAAACGTTATTTGAGAGACACATATGTTAAATTAATTGTGCTAAACTTTCTCTCAGAAAAACACTTCACCCGTCATGGTCTTCACCTGAACCTTGTCGGAAAACATGCACTCTATAGCGAAATTGCAAAACACATACTTTCAAACCTCGCCAGTGTCCTGCCAACATCCATCCCCACCCATATCTCCTAGTTCTCTCCGGTACCTCTTTGGATCCAAATACCTTATCCCCTAAACCTAATCCTTGTAGTACCTATCCCACTATTCATTTATCTACATTTGTCCCTCTTCCTTCCTCCCCTCCTGTCGGGGCAAGATAATTCCTTCGACCACGCACTCGAGGTAAAAATGAGTTAAAATAAGAGCGACTACAATTAAATGTAGCAGAGAAACATCCTTGTAGGTACAAACAAAAGTTCAAATAATGCATCATAATGTGCAATCTCTTTCCAATAAAATTGAATTTATCGAGGTAGCATTACAGTGTGATCTAGGTCAAATAGAGTTTTTTTGCTTTACCGAACATTGGTTGTCTCATAATGATCTAAACACACTCCAAATTCCTAGCATTTACCTTACGAGATCGTATTGTAGAACGAGGGAATCATATAAGGACCCTTCTTACGGAGGTTCGTGTATTTACATAAGAAATTATATTGATTCTATTTTCTTGTCAGAATTCAATTTATATGCAGTTGAAAAAGTTTTTGAAATAACAGTCATACATCTTACTAAGCTCAAAACAATCTTACTTTGCATCCACAGACCTCCAACAAAGCGAGCTTTAGATAATTTCATTTTCTTAGAAAATCTAGCGATATCTGAACAAAATTAGTACTCTATCTTGTAAATCCATTGTTATATGTGGAGATTTCAATATTGAATTTCTGAGCGAATTCCACGAAGAAGAAGAGTTTCTCAATTTACTGCATTCTTTTAATTTAGATATTACAGTGAATGTACCTACACGGATTACATTTACATCATAAAAAGCAATAGATCAAATTATAATTAACAAAACCACAACTAGTTATGAAATAAAACCACTAATCTTGGTTACAGTGACCATGATACTCAATTTTTACAATTACTAATTACATGAACACTGAAACAAATTATACACGCGAGGCATTATAGTAGAATATGCCAAAAATTGGTAGATTTAAAGGAGAGCAGGACGACATCACTTCGTGTCTGAGCTCTTTCGAAAGCCAGTCCAGAAAATTGGGAATCTGCGGAGAAGAATGGGTTGATAATTAGGATTACTTCCGCATAATGTTAACACATGGCTAATATTAGATGAACAAGAAGAAGCATTAGATTATGCGGAGTTGAAATTAAAACTGTTAGAATTGTGTAGGTTTGATGCAGAGAAATTCCGGCAGTCGTTTAGGAAAGACAGTAAAAACGGAGCGACCTGGAACATATTCGCGAGGGTAGCGGGACTTAATATAAAGACATTCGAGGGATTATTGAATTTGATCGTGGCTGACGAAATGAAGCACGAAGTTCCAGGCGATATGAGGGAACACTTTGTGAATAGATCTTTTTTATATTTATTTTCTGCATAATTTACAATCTGTTCCTATTGGAACAATAAGCAAATGGTGTCAACAGATATATTTCCGACGTGAACTTTTTATGACATTGAAAAATTTCATTTACAAAATCGGTATGGCCGATCTAAAATACTCTCTCTCCTCAGTCTATAGATATGCTCACTGTTATCTAAAAGGCTTGTTGGGAGGTGATTTCGGTGGTTGTACAATCTTTTGTGGTATGCTTGGCTTTTCGTAGCGATGACTTCCTCCAGCGGGACGATGTCGAGGTCTCTGTATATCCGTCTTGTTGTGTCAATTACCATGGTTGCGTTGCATAGTTTTCTTAGGTGTTTTAGCTTTCGAATCTTTTTGGAGAATTTCTAGATTCTATTTACTGGAAGAGCCCCACAATTCATAATACCATAGGTCCCATGTGGTTTGATTATAGTTTTATAGATCTGTATTTTCGTTATGCAAGGACATGCTTTGATTGGCTGTTTATAGCCATGACAATTTGAGAGACCTTTTAAGCTGCGCTTCTTTTCTCTTAGTTTTAATCGTGGGTTTCCAAGTCAGCGTCATATCTTGTCGGGTCGGGTATCA